ACTACTACTACTACTACTACTACTACTACTACTACTACTACTACTACTACTACTACTACTACTACTACTACTACTACTACTACTACTACTACTACTACTATTACTACTACTACTGCTTCTACTACTACTACTGCTACTACTACCACTACCACTACCACTACCACCACCACTACCACTACTACTACTACTACTAGTTGATTTTACTAGCGTGATGCAAACTGTCATGGCGGAATCCTACTACATGGCCACGTCTCCTATCTCGACTTAGGGCCTGTTTACATGGAGGTGGGGGACCCCAGATAGGTGAGGTAACACGCGACGGGTCACCCCACCTATCATGTAAACGTGATCAAATCAAAATGATAGACTATGTGGACAAGTGGGTTACCCACCAAAGCGGGTTACCACACCTACCTGGGGTCCCCCACCTCCATGCCAACAGGCCCATAATCTAATCAGTCGACAGTAAAACAATTCCCTCGGCGACGTTCGAGTTCGCACCAGAAAAAAATGAGCAAGCGTACAAGGCACTATGTTTACTGGGAAATAGCAAGGCGACAGGTGCTGATGGTATTCCTGTTAAGGCTTTAAAGATTGCTTCTGAATGCATGGCACTCAGCATTGCTTACTTGAATATGTAATGATTCATTTTGTCTTGGAGTATTTTCCTCCCCCTGGAGGATCGCGCGTGTTAGATCGTTATTCAAGGGTGCCGGAAATGCGTCTGTGACAGCCCATATTGCCATGTCTTTCAAAAGTTCTGGAAAGCTTCGCCAACTCTCAGCTCAAGGAATATGTTGTTCAAGCAAGGTTTAGGAGTGAAAAGTAGTTCTGCCAACAAAACATTTTCTACCTGTAATGTTATCCTGATTCATGCAGTTGATAAGTAGAAATTGACAACAAATGTGTATCTGTGGCTGTCTTTTTAGATCACGTCATCCTATAAATACTTGGGTGTAAACTTGGACTCATCCTTAAATCTTGAATCACATTTGACAAAATAAATAAAAGAACAGCTGGAAGATTTAATTTACTCAGGAGAATCCGACCTTTAATCGACAAGAGCAGTGCTGAGAAAATCTACAAAGCAATGATTCAACCTGTTTTTACGTATTGTGGAACCTTGGGTCTCTGTTGGTCACGTTCCTCTAAAAGTCGAATTGAAAGCATTGAACGTCAAAGTCAGCAATTGTTGGTGGAAATTATCAAGTCCAGACAGTGGAGAGTTAAATAAAGAGTCAGTCCTTCCAGCTTGTGTTTGATTGTCTTCAGGATAACGTCTGTACCCCTTTTAAAGGATATTTTACAAAAATTGAACACAACATTAACACTAGAAACAATGGGTGTTCACTAAAACTTCCCAAAGCCAAATTAGAATACTTTGAAACAGAGGCTTGGGGAAACTAGGAAAAGGCCTATTGCGTGCAAATCAAACGGGTGGGCAATCTTTTATTGAAAGTAATATTCAGGCTTGGTTTGTCGTGCCCTTCATCATTAGAGAGATCGAGGGGATCAATGGCCCACGTTCGATATATTAAAATTCTAACATGACTCCGAGGCTTTAGGGTCAAAATTGCAAATTTTTCACGACTCCATTGTCTCGCCATTCCCAGAAGAGATTCAGACTCGTACCCAGTCGCTATTTAAGGGTTTTTTGGGGTGAGAGAAGATTGGGAATTAGGTTGAGGCGCGCGCGGGGTCTCATGGGAAGGGAAGAAGGAAACCCCGCATGCGCCTTAACCTACTCCCCAATCTTCTCTCAACCCAAAAAACACTTAAATAGCGACTGGGTACGAGTCTGGAAGAGACTTGAGCACAAGGAAAACTAAACCAAATATAGAAGAATGACCAGAAAGCCTCGTAGTCATGTTAGAATTTTAATATATCGAACGTGGGCTATTAAGACAATCCAAAGTTTAATAAAAACTGCTCTAACCTAGCAGTTTTGGCTTAACATATTTGTTTTGTTTGTTTGATTTTTAACTCATAGAGCAACAAATGGAGGAAACTTCTCTTTGGTCATCCCAGACGAGGAAAATCCATCTGGCGCATGCAAGATGTTCATGTTGCGAAATAATAATTATAATGGTTGCCTACCTAATAAGGGAATCCAGTTCCTCATAGCAAAAACCCTACCTCCTAAATTTAATCTCTGGAGAGAAGGGATTATTGATGCCTACAAAAGGTTCTTTAGTGATTAGTGAAAAGATCTGAACTTTCTGTAACCTGAGTATAAAGCCCTCCTTGTGGGGGGGGGGGGGGGGGGGGGGGGGAGGGGGGTGGGGATTGGTGTTAGGGCTGGGGCTGGGGTCAGAACGTAACTCCTCTGACAACTCCTTTTAATTTTCCAAGAAAAAAAAGTCTGATACTCCACTTAAACTTCCTGAGGGGCAATCGTTA